TGGAGTGACTTCTTGGTCCTTTTCTCATAGTCCTCGACTGCTCGTTGCCAGAGTTGAGCGATGTCGGACGCCTGTGCCGCGTCGACTTGCCTCTTGGTAGCCATGTTGGAGCAAGCGTGAAAGACGAATGCTGGAGCGAGATTGAATGTGTGAGGGAGTTACGCGAATGATGGTGTTTGGACTTGGACAGAGGAAAGCCAATATTTAATGAGCCAGCACAGTCCAGCACCTCATCTGCTTTACAGGGGAGCAGAGCTGGGCTGAGAGACTCGGAGGTCAAGTCCACAACTAAACCGGCCAGACCAATCGAGAGTCCAACAGCTGTAACGCTTGGTCCCAGGTTCTCAGCCGCATTTACCCCACCAACAGCACTTGGTCTCAGAACAGTGGAAAATACCGCGCCACGCCTTCCCCAGTTCGGAGAACAATAGCATTTTATACACAAATGTATTATCCCAACACTGAGGGCGGGTTAATTATTTTAGGGAGCGCTAGTCAGTGGTCACTGCTCGGACCGATACAGCACCCCCGCCCCAGGCTGTGCGACTGGCGTGCCCTCCAGCGGAAACTTCCCCCATTTACACGAGACGGGATATTAACGACCTTATTTAGCCCAATAGCATGTCTGCCCTTCTTGCCTCTTCGAACGTTCTGCATGAGCTTGACGCACAGGGAGTCCGGGAGAGCCGAGGCCTCAGCCTGCGCATCCATAATCGCTCAGCGCCGGTGTATGACCAGGTGTGGTGCTTCAGCCGCTCTGTGTAATTTTTGTAATGAGGAAATACAGGCTAGGCCTGCACCTAGACTTATAAACAAGTAGGAAGCAGATCTCAAGGTGAATCTTTCGTCTGGTTGTAAATTTTCCACGCTTCTACCTTGCTCATATGTCGTCCCCCCTTTGCCAGTCACCTCTTCTACGTTGTATAGTCAATAACCCTTAAGAGTCGCAAAGAATCATCAATTACTTGCTTGCTTGCTACATATCTAGCTAGCTTTCCTTCCAACTCTATCCATCTTCAAAATGTCTATCAGAGCGGTTAGGGAACCGGCCAATGCCAAAGTTGAGTAAGATCGACCCGAGCTCTTTCTCCCCCAATCTCTTTCTCTAGCCCAGCCCATCCCATCCTAAATCAGCGTACTTACCCAAAACCACCCGATAGTATTGTGTTTGTCCACGGCTTGCATGGCGACCAAGCACCGTGGACATCCGAGGCGGATGTCTTCTGGCCTGAAAAGCTCCTACCAGGGAAAGTCTCCGACGCGTGTATCCTGTCATTCGAGTATGAAGCGGCTATCGGTCCTTTTTTTGGCGAGGACGACGCGATCACGGACATTTCCAACGACCTGATCAACGAGCTGATGGACCATCGAACTGAGAAAGAGAAGGTTTTGTTCCCAGCTCTGCTCTACTCTTCCAGTGCCTCTTGATCCAGCTGGTTGACGAAGCAAAACAGGAAGAAAGACCGATTATTTTCGTTGCACATTGTCTCGGTGGCGTTGTTTTAGAGAATGTATGTTACCCTCGCTGTCCATGGGAAATCCCATTAACGTAGGACATTCTCATGTCTAGGCCCTAGTCCGAGCCGCCGAACATCCCAGGAAAAGAGAGCTCATTGGTCATATTCACGGTATATTACTACTAGGAACCCCTCATTTCCAGCCGGCGTCGCTAGCAGCAGCCACAACGTATCTCCAAGTTGCTCAGGCGGAGGTCCCCAGCGAGTCGGACCTGAAAGACCGGTTAAAACGCCTTAGTGGCATTCCCCAGCGGTTTGCCGAGCTCAAGCAAGCAGGGGCTGAGTTCGAGGTGGAAGGTTTCTATGCCGGAGCCGGCACCAAGCTGGGCGGTACCGGCAAGGACGTGAAGATCGTTGATGAGGCGTTGGCCCGAGGCCCCGATGCTCCTCCTCCTGAGCGCCTGGCGCGCAATCAGCTACGGCTGAGCCAGTACGACGGCGAGGATGACAAGGATTTCAAGAAGGTGGTTCGGGTTCTTACCCAGTGGGCGTCCAAGATTGTTCTTCCGGAGGAGAATAAGGGGGCCGCCAATGTGTCGAATGCGACGTTTTCGGGTTCTCATAATTCTGGTTTGCAGCTGGGGCAAAATGTAGGAACTCTGAAGGGGTTCAGTTTCGGAAGAGGTTAGATAGTTAGGTAGTTGATCAATTCATACTTGCAGCGTATATCGGATGGGGAAGGTAGGTAATGATATAAGTTGACGGTTGTTGGTCCATATTGTGTTGTATTGCTCCATAGGTTAAACGCCATGCTCTGTTGAATGCTGTAACCATTGTAGTTAACAAGTTTTTCTATTCTTCTAGTAAAGTGAAAAGACGCGTTGTCCATGATGTGTGATGCTTTCAATGATTAGTGGGCTGGATCTGTGAGGTTGCATTCAGACTTTGACCTGCAGGGGACGCCTCTGCTGCGGAAGTTGCAATGACTCCACTGACTGTGTATTCCACATTGGGTGACTTTTGTTTCCCTGTCCATTCGGAGGCCCCATCATCTGGAAGTGGTGAAGTGGTGAAGTGGTGGGCTGATTTCAGCCCGTGCTTAGGAATAGGAAGTGACTTTGATGTTTGGACTTTTGTAAGAGAGGATAAGCTAGCCCAGTCTTCCATTACTACTGTGCTGATCTATATTATACATACTCAGTTACTGCCAGGATTCTATTCTTTTACTTATAAATAATTACCCCTTCTTATTATTTTGTATTCAAGTAAACTGCCCTTAGCTACTTTATTCCAGCATCAGCTTCCCACTACCCTAACTATTTAAAAAAGAAAAAAATATCCTCTCTGAAGATATTAAGAAGTTATAATTACTCTTAATAATATCAATTTCTACCATGTCTAATCCTCTTTTCTAGGAATAGGTTCTGCGACCTGCCACTTGTAAAGTATGAGCTATTCTCTAGATAGATACTCATTGGCTATCAGTCTACTCCGGTGAGGACCGTGAGGGTTTTTCCCCTAACCTTGGTTTTCCCTCACTATCATGCAAATGTGGGAGCAATGTTCAATGCATTAGATTTCTATCTTTTAAATCTGATTATTGAGCAATTTGCTTTTCTTATAGAGCTGCCTGGATCAGCATCCTGATTATATTTTGCAGAGCTGATGCTCCATAATATATAACTTTATACTAGTGTAATCTGTCCGGATCCTGTAGTATTAAAAGAACGGAAGCTTGCCTGGCTGTCACTCAAAGGAGACAAATGACCAGGAAGCTTTTAGAATTATTGGCCATGGAACACAGGCCAGGAAGCCTAACCCGGGTGGTGCGTTCTATTGAATACCGAGAGATTCTTTAGTTTCCAGCAGAATCTGGCTGGGCTATGCATTACTTCATTCAGCACCCAGCATGTGTGACTAACTCTATAAATCACCTATCATCCTATTCCTCTGACAGCAAAGATTCGGCAGTCTGCAATCCAGTAGTAATATTGCTCACAGCCGTGACACCATCGCCGCAGTCAGTAGAAGGATCCAGTTTTCCTCCTCACTGGAGTGTGCAGCAAGCGATGGATTCTAAAAACATAACTTTGCAACACAGGAACTAATCAAGCCGCCGCACTAGATTTGGCGCGTATGAGTTTCAAAGGGATGCATAGACATGAACTGTTGATATGAGCTGATTTTGTTGGAGGTTCCATCGCCTGCCCATCCACACGTAGAATTACGAAGATTCGATGGTAGAATCCCCAGGTTGATGGATGCTCCTAGAGCCCCTGTGACCTTTCGATGCATTTTCTGACAAAGCGAGTCCCGCAAAAATAGAAATAACGTGGTGCTAACCAGAATATGCACTATTATTCCTGCCATACTAGAAGCGGACATCGAGACACTTTTTTCACTTAGTGGTTCGATGACTGCCGCATGATTATACACTGCCAGTGGCCCAGTTCAGCAGCCAGCACGTAGGAGCGTTTCCTGCATTGAAGGTATAGACATGACAGGAATCCAGTCGGGCTGGCCGACGCGGAAAAAGCAAGGTATATCATGCAGAGGGGACACTGCTAAGGGAACATCTTCGGGAGAGAAAAAATGCTATGGAGTCCCTGAACGTGGGTCAACTAAAAAGTCCAGAAGCACACAGCTGATGATATCGAGTTTGCCCCGTCAAGCCAATATCCCTATTACTCGAAGCGGCTCACAGAAAAAGATAGGTAGAGAAACATATAATTTATGCGGACATCTGCGGCCCTAGCACTTGGTCCCTGGGTCCTCGCATCCAGGAAAACACACTTGGGTCCATTTTACAACTCCAAACCGCGGAGCCCCAGAGTCAATCATGGCTGAACCATTGCGCAGAAAATTATCGTTTTGTATCTGCCACCTCTGCTCGCGCAGCGTGGGGCATTTCTTCTCCTTGATGAACCTATAGAACTTGCACTAGATCCCCTGAAAACCGCGCCGTTGACGGTTGGGGAACTGGCGGTTGAAGTTCTCGCGGACCTCCTTCCACTCCTGGCAAAGGTCGACACGGCGGTACCAGAGGAAGTACATCTCTTCTTTATTGTACTTCGGCCGGGGAGGTTGCTTGCTGGAGCGGCTGGAAGCGGAGTCATGCCTCTTCTGATAATAAGTGTTTGATGGCAACTCGCCCAATATAGACTGATAGGATAAGGGAGTTTGTTCTTGAGAAGACCCTGAGGTGCCTGAAAGAGGGTACTCCTCCCTATTATGAGCATAGTAGTAGCGGCTAGACCTGGAAGAATAATGTAGCGAGTATTGCTGGCTCGAGGATCAATGGCGTATTGGTCCTTTATTGCCTTGTTCACAGCTGACGGATTCAACAAAGCATCGATGGCCATTCGGCTCGCGTAAGATGAGGGCATGTAGCTAGTTCACGTATCCATCGGTTTCGTGACGGACTTTTGCAAATGGCGTGACTCGTAAGTGAGGGACACAGTGAAGTCTAACCCCGTAGGAAGTCTGCGACTCAACCCCCCTGCTCCAAACATCTTTCCCACATATGGAATCACGAAGCCTGGCATGGAGTTGTATGGCAAGTTTGCGCCAGCGGGGACCGAGGTTTCAGGCAATCAGTGGATCATGCAGCGGGACAAGCAGATGTATGGGGAGGATGCGGAAGAGTCTAAGCTGGAGCGTTGGTTGGGTGCTGAAAAGGCTAAGTTGTATAATAAGTATAGCTTCACATTTGACTACGGGGCGCGAGTGTGTCTGGGAAAGGATATTGCCATGATGGAGCTGTACAAAGGGCCCTTACAGGTTGGTCTTCCGTAATTCTCGTTGTGTGTTCTGAACCGATTCTCATGTCTCTCAGTTCTTTCGGCGATTCAATGTCCAGACTGTGAGCGACAAACCGCAGACTCGATTCGTGATCCAAGAGGTGTTGGTTTCTATCGCGATCTATGGCTGGCAATTGATCGTCGCCTTCCAGAAAAAGGCGTTAAGTGACACTACCACTGATCAGCAAAAACTCGGTTGAACTCTCCCCTGCGAATATGTACATGCCCTCTATGTAAAGCACCTGCACTTACCTTGTATATCATTGGTTCAAATATCAAAGAATGAACTCGCAGCTTTCACGATGCTAATGCGCATGGATATATATCCAGTTTGTACTTCAGCTTCGCACTGCTACGGAGAATTGGGCTCAGTGGCAGCATTTTCCTTGCGCTGTTGACTGATCCAGTAATCGCCATGCGCGATCACGATGATCCGCTGTCCCTTGTTTCGTGAGGGTCCTACATGCTCTTGGGTTGGTCTAAATGTATTAAAGGATGTACCTTATCCCTGGTGCATTGGATGTTCATGCGGATAGACTACAAATAGACCATCTACAGGATGTATTTGCTTGCGCCTTCCGAATTCCCCTGGTGGATTAGCATCCACATTCCATGGGCCATTCTCTCTAGGCATGAAATGGCGCTCAAATGGTCCACTAAGCCAATATCTATTTCGGCATACACATATCTAAGTTGATGGAGTCGCGTTGTATGACAGGTGAGGCTATTTCCGTATCTTGTATATTTCTCAATTAGAGTTGCATGAGCTCTTGAACTGGGCAGATAGTGGAAAACTGGGGAAAGTCTGGGGTATAGTACTATGTAGACTTTTGGAGCGATACACTTGGTGGATTAAGGCAATGACATGGCCGACATATTTTCGTTGGCTACTGGTTAGCTCGAACCTGGTAATATATCCAGTTTTACTCTCCTCCCTCCAATCTTGGCAAGGAATACATGACCAGTCAAAGTCAATATGGAACTTGTTTCGCCACCTATCCCGCGAATTATGCTTTGTCGTATTCAGATATCAAGTCATTCATGTTCAACGCTGCTTCCATAAACTCCATCTCCTCCATCCCATGCTCCGTGTAGAAGCGAAGGAAGCTCCGACGCCTGAACAAAGATTCAAAGTGCTCCATGGTCATCCGTAGCTCATTTACAATAGATGTAAAGTTTCCTGTGGATGTAACGGAAATTTCATATCCAGCAGTCGGAACGGTGCAGGCGTAAAAATGAGGGTTAGCAGGCATCCACTCCATGAAGGCTGGGTTGCTTTTGTCTCTGACGTCTCGAGTGAATTGTGTAAGTGTGTCATGGAACCCATAATTGCCACGGCTTCTTGTTGTTAGTTGAATATATTGCTTGGGTTTACGCAAGGACTTACAAGGCCGCATTGTAAGCAAGGCACCGACCAGTATCGTGGGAATGGATACCCACCATCGTCCAGACTCTATTTCGAGAGAGTTCCTGGGCTACTTGCGCCATTGTCAAATCTGCCATATTCGTATGTCCCTGGCTGCCATATACCGGTATCATTGCTGAGGTTAAGAAGTGCATCCGCGGCGTTGGGACCATATGTTCAATAAGCTGCATCAGATCCACATCTCTGTGGCTTGGAAAACGCAATGAGGTCGTTGCGCCTAGAATAGTATCCGCTACTACCCGATTGTAGCGTACGAAGGAATGATCCATCTTCAGTTGATTTATGATTTTGTCGTCCATGGCCTACCACACATTAACGAAATTATTTTTCAAAGCAATCGCTAGGCAAAAATACTCGGTAGCTGAACAAGGTCGCCAAATCCGTCAATTCAGTCAGATAATGTAGTGTTAGAGTGGTATTATAGGGTCTAATCATGCATCCATCAGGGGAGGAATACGTCGGCATTATGGCATAGGTCGCTCGCGATGCCTCCGGATACTCTTCAGCGAGTCGGCCCAAGAGTCGACTGGCCATGCCACCTCCAGTGCCAGAAGCGATGCTTTGCGTCATCTGGAAGCCCTGGAGGTTGTCGCAGTCTTCGACCTCAAGGCGGACAATATCGATGATTTTCTCCACCATGTCGCCTCCTTCTGCACTGTAGAATCCTTTCGCCCAATAGTTAGAAAAGCTGTGCTGACCGAATATCTGTCTCTTCCGGCTGAATGCTTTGATTATGGGTCTGCAGTCAATGAGATTCGCCGTAATCGGACAAGAGTCGGTGAGTATTGCTCGTGGGACATAGAGGTTATTCTCGGTCTATCGCTCAGTGTCATATGAAATACTTCCAGCAGAAAAGATGGAAAGAAGTAACATTGGAAACGCACCTTCTTGAAGTAAACTCCCATTCGTTCAGACTGTATGTCAGTCGTTGCCGTGAGACTACAATACAAGCTGTCAGGAAACTAGAGTAGCCGCTCAGCAACATAGGTGGCAGAATATACCAGCCTGATTGATTGACCCCATGCTCTGTTAAAAGGCCCTTCCTGAGTAACAGTGAGAAAAGCCTTGAGGTTCCATGCTAATGCGGGCTTACCAGAAATTGAGGCCCAGGTCAATTCCCTAAACTCCAATTAGCCATGATGTGCTTGAAGAGTGACTGGAAGCCTACCCAATGCCCGACGTGTAAATTTATCTAGCAAGAGACATTAGTAGAGGACAGAGTATCGGATGGGGAGGGCTACAATTTCTTTTGAATTGCTCATAGTGAGACAGAAGGAAGGAAATTCTGTTCCAGCATGAAAAGCATTATATGAAGTCAAGAAGTTATCTTGGACAATAGAACAGTTGGTCCCAAAATGGGCGACGGTATTAGTTATTATTGACGGAATAGATTACCGCTTACCGAATGGAGAAATTTGGCGATTCTCTCAACCCCTTCCAGGATAGATGATTCGGATTCGGCGAAGACGACGAGGATACCACTGATAATCTATGGAATCATGATTGCCAAATCAATCTGAGTGATGCAGAATCATTTCGAATCTAAATACCTTCATTCTCGGGATATTAATATGGCTCATTTAGTCGGTCGTTGAAAAGAATCAGACCTTCATTTGATTCCAATCTTGCATACATATTAGTCATACATAAACTTTAACTAACTACTAGCGTAGTCGAATGCAAAAGTCGATTTGGACCTGTAACAATACAGCAAATTCAGAATAGAACATTTGCGTGGGCGAGCTCAGCAAGGCGCTGACGAAAAATATCGATACACTCGTCGACATAAGGCTCATACGTTACCAGTCACGACATGGAGTATAACTTCTAATACTGCCTACAGTTCTGTGCATGCCTCTTGATATCGCTGTCGGAGAAAAGTGTCTTTAATGGCGCCAGTGTGTTTAGGAAAGGGCCATCTATGACCATAGATGACATATATTACTTTAGGGTCGCGGAAACTGTAACAGATTGGGCCGCAGCGCACGATCAGGCCTGCGTAATACAAATCAGGCCAACTTCGCCTTGAGAATGGGTGAACGAAAGCACAATACCATAGACTTTGTGCAAATTCTGGTTCCGGTGCTGGAAATCTCCAGCACGAAGATACAGATCCTACCATATGTACCAAATAAGACGCCACTATCATGCTGGCTGAACCAGGGAGGCTCAATTAACCCGGCAGGATTCGTTGACAAAGACGGAACCCGCTATGCCATTTTCGAGTTGAACAGTAATAGCATTAGCCATGGTGGTGACTGTAACAACAGTATCACACCTCTGATGCCCACCCCAATCCTTCTACAGAGAGTAAGAGATGTTGGCTGTACACTAATTAGGGACGATATCCCAGTCCTTGACGGTGATGATAGTGGTGGACATCTGGTTGAAGCCCCTAACCTTATCCTGCATGGTGACATATACTTCCTTTTCTACTCAACCCATTGCTTCATGAAGATTGAGCATGATGTACATTGGGCGACCTCGAAATCGATCACAGGCCCATACGTCAAGTCTGGCCAAAAGTTATTCAAGTCTGGCGACTATGCACTAACCTCACCTGGCGGAGGGACTGTCTATGGATGTGGTGATAAGATGCTCTTCCATGGAATCTGTGAGCCCAATAGACGATGTACATATGCTGCGAACATTGCCATTGATGGTGATCAGGTTATAGACATGAAGCGAAAGAGGAGTGCTACGAGAATATCTAGCCCTCATTCAACTTTCGATTCACCTGATTCATGCTTGGCTTTGATAGTGAAAATTCGGGTTGCTGGCATCATCAATTACCCCGAAGAACTCAAACCTAGGCATTTCTTTTTAGCAATAATTCCTCATATTGTGAACGATATACCCCTACCAGTCGTTCATATTCAACGTCATTGGCGCAGGCTGCCCTTGAGTCACGGCCCAACCATCCAGGCTTGGTCCGTCCGGCATTTCCACATCAAAATCGGGAAGCGATGTTGTATGTGGCCCCTAGTAAGCGTCAGTTTAAATGCGCCCAGCTTTTAGCCCAGAGACTTGTCGAGGTCAATTTGCTACCTGCCCATGCACGCCCTGTCCCACGCTGTAGGGCGCCATTTGGGATATGGTGTTATGCTCTTCTCTCAATCCGCCATTCTGCTTCATGATTGCGCTTTGTATGTGCGGTTGCGACCATCCATATGACGCCAGTTGGCTGGGGCTGGGAAAAACAAGGTTAGGGCATATTCTTTCTTCGTCTTTCGAGAGATCTTGCCCCTTGCCCTGTTGCTCCGGTCGAGACAGGCTGTGATGCTTTTCAGGCTCCTTAGCCCCAAAAGTTTGCACTCCGTCTTCGGGCATATTGTTGCGGATAATCGGCTCAAACAGAGTATATGCCATCTTGCCTGTCAGCCACACATGAGACACAGCCTTCAAAGCTGACATGCAGCTGCGTAGCTTGTCTGTGACATCTTGGCGAATTGTCGAAACTGATGTGTGTATCTCATTGACGTGCGTGATCAGCGCTGAGAATAAACTATAAACAATGGACGGTGGACAATATCGAAGCTGACCGGAAACCGCCAGGCTCTCGATAATAGAGGTGATCATCGCTGCCGCCTGGGAAGAAACTCTTCTCGAATGAGCAGAGTCGCCTCGGGGTACTGGTACTCGGTGAAGCAGACAAAGCGTTGTGTAGTAGTTGCAGTGCAAGATCGCAGACCAGAAGTGATGTCGTGGCGCCTCCCAGTAGACAATTTGGGGACAGTTACGGAGCCAATCTGCCAAGGATATATCGTTGCGGGCTGCTGTTGAATGAACAGCGGGCCTTTGTTGCTCTTTGGGGCCCGCTGGGTAGTGTTGGTCCAGAATATGGCCCATAATAACACATAGCTTGACATACTGAAGGAAAAATTGCACATGCACCGAATCCGATGCAAGCCCGTTGGACCTGTCCACGCCATCCGCGTTATCCTCGACAAAATCGTCTTCTGTCACCATTTCTACGTCGCAATTCTGAAGGTCGATATAGGTAGGCCACCCAAAGGCGACAGCGATGGACCGATCCACAGTGAACAGGGTCCACCATATTCTTTTCCAAAGTCTCTTATCTGACTTGCTGAGATATGACTGGTCAACGGTCCGGTGCATCCCGCAGCCTTGGGCAATTATTCCCGCGACCCGGCTCCAGTAGAAGGCATTCTTAGTAACGTCCTTAGGGTCTTCCCAATACAACCCCATCAGCAATACAGACTGTATAATAGCAACACGATCATCCTCATAATTCGCATCGTAAAGAGCCTTGGCGCGCTTATAGAGGATTTGTGCATCTGGGACAACCGATCCGTTGGTAGACGCTAAATCCGTATCGCAGAATCGCGAGCCAGCTAGCAAGACGGCGTGAAGAAGCAGTAGCGACGGTTGGTTCTTAGGATTTCGGTACTGCCTCATGAAGCGGGCGCGGTTGATGACCGGTAGCATAGGGTGCACACACTTGAAATAGGTATCGATAATAGCGTCGCAGAGGGAACGCGGTGGAAGAATGAATGCACCCCGTTGGTGCAGGATGTTCATCTCGACCTTGTCCAGCTTAAACTGCCTGGTCCTGCGTCTCTCAGTATTCTCGGGATGCAGATAGTGTACGTCGTTGCCGCCCTGACGGCCCTGGATCAGGAACGTAACGTTACCTGACTCGCCTTGGTATACAACCCGGCCGGCGTCGGTGATGGGGGCACGAGTAAATTTTGGCCTCATAACCAAACGTACAAGAGTGCCGTTGTCGTCTTCTTCTGTTAAAGCTAGGGCTTCTGTTTGTGACGTTGAAGGGATGCCTTCAGTGGTATGATATAATGGACAATCCCACAGAGGGCAGGAAATTGAGTTATTCGAGGCCTGCTGGTGCGATCGATGGTCTACCCCAACATGGCAATCCCTACTGGCAGAAAAGGTGCGTTAGCATCACTACTGGAGTTAAGGCTCTGTTGCCGAGGCTTGGAGAGCAGCATTAGTGTGGAGATCACCTATATGAGTCCCCCTTAACCTGGCCGGTGGTATCCCGGGATTTCCTTTGTTTTGGTGTTGGAATACAGCACCGGACCTGGAAGGCCTTGCAGTTGGTGCAGGGTACACCAAGATTGACAACATCACAACGGACCTAGATGATCATGCTGTTAACAGGTCTGTTTATGCAAATCAGTCACAGAAGATATACAATACTTTTCGTGCACGACAAGTCTGGTAGGACGCGCCAATGTCAGCACTAAGGATCTAACATCAAAAGACAGAAGGCTGGTGAATGCCTTGACTTCGCAGCTTGCGATAGCTACATCAAGGCAAGGGGTGAGTGGTCAGTAGATACATGCCTCACATGCTCGTGATGCTCGTTGTCTATATATAATGCACAGCTTGTTAGTGTCTGAACTCTCATCCAAAGGGTTTCTAGATGGTCATACCTCTTAGAGCCCATTGTGTTGGTTGACTTGGTCATCGCTGTGAGGCTTTCGCGGCTCAACTACTGACTGCCAACTGCTAAGCCTGTAGCGCTACTAGGTCGTCACCTAAGCTTTCGGGTGGACTGAAGGCGTGAGTAAAGAAAGGTGCAATAGATCAGACTGCTCCCCACACTGCACATGTATTAAAGTAACGAGGAGTCTGACAAACTGACATGTTGCCATGTGCCCAAACAGGCGGGCGGCATCTGACAAATCACATATACCTTTGTGCTACTCAAGCTGTCATCAGGCTCCTACGAGATGGTTGGAGGGAGACATTCGGTAAATGAGGGGTGCGCTAGGTATTCACAAACAGAGAGCGCTTGTACTGGCCCTCCTTGCGGTGGACTGAGAGGGAGTATACTGAGGTTTGATGGGGCCTTCCAGAGCTGATAGAGGGGTTTCCGAGGCAAGAGGGACAATGTCCAGAAAGGAGATTCGCCAGTCGGATCAGGGTTTCCCATTATGTCAAGTGTGGGTGCCCCGCACAGATTCAGAAATAGATTTCAATCACAGAAAGGTCGCTTTCTATGCACCAGCCTCGGCACTCAAGACCGAGCCTTACATTTTATTGGATAATCATTCCCCGCAGGAGGCAGAGACAACCGAGGCGGGTTCATTTAACCAGAGGCACCGGAAAGAAAATCAAAGGAGAGAAATGTAGAAGCCTTAGCTGGGCTCTGGCTTTTTGTTGAGACATGGGGCGGTAACTTGCCGCGTACATAGATATGGGTTATATGGTTATACTAAGTGATCCACTTTCCCTTGTATTTTGTCATGTGTTACCTTATACTGATTTGGTATTCATGGCATCACAGTACGGTTGTCGTAGCACCTATGGGTATTTCAAACTACCCCATCAAACTTGTTCTTTCTTCAAGCTTTTGATCCGAGATTGGTTCTGTTTGACCCTATCCTCTTATTCCATTCGCCTACCAGAGTTACTAGCCTATACTGTTCCAACTTTACAGGGGCGTGACATTGATGTACAAGATGTGAGTCGGGAAGCACATTGTGTTCTTATTAGGTGACTAACTTCAAATGTAGCTGACTACATCTGGACGCTAGCCCAAAGGACAAGGGAAAATAGTAACAGGTTTCACCCATTTACACTAGGAGGAGTGGTAATAAGGTGGGCTGGTAAGAGGTGGTTAAACCATGGCTGTTGGGAGACAGTATCACATGGGGTAATGGAATAATCCCTTTTCACAGGTGAAAGTGGAATAAACACAGGCTACAGCAAGGCTCCAAGTTCGTCTAAGAAGTGGCACATTATCATCGAAGAAATCATGTATTTGCGCAGTTGTTGTACGCCGCATATCGTCTGCAAAGTTGGATTGTTTACCACAGCCTCCTAGGCTTGGTATGGATTCGTACTTTGGCCTAAAACCCACTCGCGAGGGGAGGTTAGCGTAAGTGAAATTATCCATCCATCCATCCATCCATAATATCCAGGCAAGGGATAGTGTTGTTCCAGTAGTAGAGAGCAATCCGTCCATAAAGTCTATCTGTCTGATAACTTCTACTGCCTCCACCCCGAAGATGTAGAAAACAGCAGTTATTCCTAATCCAATGAGAGCCCAACACCATAGAATAAGCCTAAGTATCTCCACATAGAATGCTATTGGTTCATCAGTGCAAGATGAATGTAGAGCAGATTAAACTTTATTAAACGTGCCTGCTTGACTATCTAGCCTGACATCTTCTGAAGGCCAGTAACTGACAAAGAGTAATTATGTAGAAATAGTGATATGGTAACCTTAACATTCTAGCTATTTCTGCCTTATATTGCCTACTTATTATCCGTCAGCCCCACCATCTCTAGGGAGTCTTTCCAGAGCTAAGCCTCTTTCTCAGCATCATACACATGCCCTGCAAACCCTACACCGGCAATCTCATGAATGTTGTACTTTAAAAAGGGGAAGGGTGATCAAACCATACTTCATCCTAAGTTGGTAAATACTAGCATGCTTTGTATTTCTGCTCATCTCTTTTACCAACACTGTGCAGGGGATGATGATGTCATAGCTGATTTGAGCATTTTCGCGTGGCGGTTTGATGATTGTAATGTGTGGTAGTGAAGGATGATCTCCTCTCTTATATGATTTAAACTACTCCTCTATAAGTAAATCCACTCAGACCGCGCTACACTGAATTCGGTCAGGGAAAGACCCATCTTTTCTGATGTATTTCTGGTAGATCACTAAAATTACCGTCACATCCAATGTAATTTTTCAGAGGCTGCAGGATGGCTCCACTTGCTGGGTGATTGACAAGAGACAAAGAAGACCGCGCTCAAACAGCACATGCACAAGCCCAAGGATTCAATACTAACCGGACTATCACCCTGTCAGAGCCCTGTCTGACCAGCAGCATAATCCGTACATTGCTGCCTAGGAGTTTCCCTGAGAGAAATCCCTCATCTTCTCCCTTCCCATTCACCCTCCCCGGTTCTAGCAGGTGGCACTTCTCTTTCATTCATACTGATAACTGCAACCAAATCAATCCATCAGTCAACACCATCAACACCTCATAATGCATAATCTCCGTGATTCGCTGCTCAGCCCTTCGCCACGAGGCACCCCTCACCTCACCACATCAGAAGCTTTTCGGATAGACCAAGAGGACACCCGTCAGTGCACCGCTCGGGGAGAATTCAAGGAGATTCGGAGCGCGGCCTTCAGTAACCGAACCTGGATCATCACCTCCCGATACTGCGAGCTTGGAGATGGTGTGGATTCCCTTGAAAAGTACATTCATTCCATGTGGTATATGTACTACCAGCTCGGTCGGAATATCTCGTACGAAACGCCCGACCATGAGGGTCTTGTCCTCGACATCGTCCGCATTCAAGGAATGGGACCGCTCACTCGGCCCGTACGAGGAAATTACGGTGCTGATATCGCACGAACTGCCGAAGGCACACTGTGGAATGATCTGCCCTTCTTGGCCACTGACATGACCAACTTCTGGAACAGCGACTTCCCGACGATGTCGGGTACACACCGACTCAACTTTGCGACTTTCCTGGCCAAACTGGCCTCAACCCGCGTCGGCAAGGATAGGTTGTGCCAGATTGCCCTCATTCTATTCCGCAATCTGTTTGAGGAGAGTCAGGGACTTTGCAGCGGGGAGGAGTCGGATGATGAAGATCCAAAGCGAAGCATGCATCAGCTTGAAATTTTTCACTTGTTGCCAGCTGCCGTGGCTTGGCTCCGCCATACAGGCCACAATCTTATTCTGCTCTCAGAGGTCTATTGGAACGAATGCCCCAGTACCGTCAGTAAGGGTGGCGAGATGTTCACTGAGTCAGAGCTTGGGCAGCGATCACCCACTGGATTCTCGCCATGGAGATACATATACTGGCTCAAGCGACTCCATGAAATCCAGGAGGAGGCCAAAGAGGCCAAAGAGGAACTCTTAGAAGAGTACGCCACCGATGCCATTGACTACATGCTCAGCAAACTCGAGCAACGAAACTCTGAAATTTTCAGGGCATACCAGAACGGTGGAGATGCCTTGCATCAGGAAAAACATCTGCTTTGCCTGAAGATTCTTTTGAAGAGTGAAGCTACGGAGAATAAAGACTTGAAGGATGACTCGAAGGATGGCGTAAAATAAGTAAGACGCGAAGGAAGGCCCCAAAGCAGATGTTAAGGAAGATGACAATCAAATCTCTCTCCTTCTTTCTTAGCTTCTCTCCTACTTTAGTTTCCGAGTTCAATGTTACTCTTCTCTCCTAATGCAGCCCTCCGCATATCTGCTCTATCTTTCAAGGTGTACAAATAAGATACGATTACACTATTTACATGATTCAGGTGAAATACATATGTCTGGAGTTCTGGTAATTGTCGAACTTCTGGATTGTTCAAACTGTCAGAGACAATCCCTCGGGTCAGATTCTTGGAAAACATGGTAGGTAGCTACTAGAGCATCAGGCCACTAGCATAACTCAGCAATAAATAGATGGCTAGGATATTCTCTGAATGACAGAGATGCTCAAAATACCAGGTAGTTAATGAGTAATTTGTTGATAAGCAAAATATCTAGCTAGATACTAAACGAGTGTGGTCGTAGCAAAAATCACAGAAAAGCGAGATACAGGGGATGCACATCACATATGTATCCACCCAACATACACTCAATATTGCTTGTTCCTAGCCCTTCTTGAGGTGAATTGCAGTTGTTGAGAATCATGCGGCGTCTCACACTTCCTGGTAAGAAGAATGACCAGGAACAGCCATTTAAAATAGTTTTATCAAT